GTGTCTAATACAAATGCTAGTGTGATAACAAATGATAGGAGATATGCAATGCACAATTGCAACGGCTAAGCCTATTTTGTAAGAAAAAAATACAAATACCACCGATAACACAACGTATACATTCCACTCTCACGTTTCAGAGCCAAAAAACAACCGGGAAGAATTATTTTTTCTTGGTGACATGTCTCGAATGGAAGTGAATTTCAAATCTGATTACAATTGTCTTCAACCGCCAGTTCTGCGGGTGGAGTTGTGTTTGCAGACAATTTCACGTTGATTCTCACATATGTTCATGGGTAAGTTGTGATTTATTATTCGCGAAATGTAATATTTTTGGATAATGGTTCTGGGAAAATGGTTCCTCCGCGTATACATTCACAAAATATGTGCAGAGGAAGAGTGCTATGATTGGTATTTTGTGAGTGATAAATGTTGTGGTCGCCAACCTTCATTGAGTGGATTTGGAAGAGAAATCTATGGTGAATAATGGGAGTGCAAAAGAAAGTTTTTATAGGCGGGATCCAATTTTTAGGATGCTTCCAAGAAAGGATAATATCTAATACAAAATTTTGTTGTAAATTATGCAAGTAGTAACATCGATTAAAGTGAGATTGGCTTTGCACACTTTCTTTGACTGAAATCACTACAATTATGGTACGTAAGTACAGATCGTTAGAGTGGAGGATGCATTATTTTACCCGTTTCATATCATCCGATCTGAACAGTGAACGCGAGTTTCGAAAGGATATAAAACTTCTACGAAATTAGCGGACGATGAAACAGCCAATTGAAATAAATAATCTCAAAAGAAAGACATTCAGAACATATATTCCAGGATAGCAAAAATGTTAAATTTTTTACTAATGATCAAACCTTGATGATGAATGATTGTCCTGGATGAAACTCCCAGACAACGTTTAGAACTGGAAATTAAAGTTTGAAATAGTAGAGGGTGGAAAAGCAAAACGAATATTTATACATCTCCTTGTTTAAAGTCGCCACTCGGTTCACCTTTGTCATGGACATGAGCATCTGAACGCAAATGCATTCTGTAGCTGGAATGTGAAATCTGTCGAGGCTGAAATCATAGCATTGATCGTTGATTGTTTCTTTGCAGTGGTTTGAGTTGACCTAGCGATTAGGTTGATAGTCTGGAATGTAAACTTCTTCTAATGAATTCAAACTACGTTTAGAAATCCATCTAGTTCAAACAAATGTATTATCATAATGACTGTGACTTTCTTGTATCTTGAAAATCGCAGTCATTGGGGCCATGCAAGACAGCTGGACCTTTCTCCCATGTCACACAGGATGCTGATCTATTTCCCCCATAAGATTCTCGGTAGTCTGATAAACGATCCCAACTTCACTCTCCCGTTCAGGAACTGGGACAACCATCTGGACGACAGTGCACAAAATTCCACAAATTTTCTGCATTATCCACAGCCGATTAGAAGGTCCATGCAGTGGCATGGACCGCATTGACAGTTTTGACGGCATGGACATCATGGACCGCGCGGAAATATCAGGAACACGTTCATGTACGAGGGCAAACGCCGCAACCCCAACCACATGCCCCCGAAGGTTCTTCTGCTCACCTTCGATGCATCACTGGAGAGGGAGAGGGCAAATTGGACTCGTGGGCAGATAAGGCAGGCCAACCTGGGCCAGGTTTACGAGATGGTTTATAACAAGGTGAGCGCCAGAGGGTACATGGGAGATCCGGATGACTCCAACTTCATGGAGGTTGTCAAATTCCCCGTCAGTGAATCTGGGGCGCAGAATCGCCTCACAACACTGCTCACTAGGCATTCTCAGCAACACCAACTACCCCGACAACGAGGACACGGGGGTGTTCACGTACGCAGGACGCGATCCGATTTTTTACTCAACCGCGCCAATGTCGACCGTTTGCGGAACGTCCGGACAGCTCTTCCCGACAACATCGCTTGCTACGGGCACAGGAGCAAGAAGGATTACGATGATTACGACATCCTGGAGACGGAGTTCACATTATACGACGAGAACAATGAGATGGTGATCCTGAAGCTGAAGGATATGCTGGACATCCACAAGCTGGGCTGCCCATACCAATGCATACCTCATGAGCTGTTTCAACGGATTTCGCAATCTTGCAGCCCATGCAGCTCCCCAATAAATGGTGAATTACCAATGATGAAAATGCTGTAATTTCACCCCATCCAAATCAAACAAAAAAAATAAAATTATAGCACAAATGTTCGGAAACTAAAATTGTCCCATGCCATATAACATGAATGCGAATGTGGATCATAACACACAAAGAGTTAAAGCGTGCCGTCGCCAGAAGTCAGTTTGAGGAGAACTATACACGAGATGGATCGAAATATCGAACCATCTGAACTAACTCATCGCCGTCGACAGTTCTGGCAGGCTTAGGACCGACGCCCGCGACACCGCTCTGGTCTAAACTACCCAACCACCGTTACAACTGAAAGGACGGCAGTGACGGAGGCACCCAGAATCTCATACCAGGGAACATTGCGGCCGAGGCTGTCACAAATCAACCTTGCATCGTACGGAACGTACGCGACAAGCAGAACTACAGAAATGAGGGCATAGAGGAAAACAGCCCCTAGTACACTGCATAAGATGTACAATGCGAACCCGCTGACCATTTTGAGGCAGCTCGAACATGGTTTCCAGTGAGAGTTTTCCAGGAAAGAGTTTCTGAGCGAGACTGAGGAGCGTGTATAGAATGTAATAAAGCAGGACATTGGCCAGCACGAAGAGAATTTGTACCATTTCAACGTAGAAAGTTGGTTGTTCAGGTTCAGGTTGGGTGGACTGCACAAGGGGCACCGCATCGACGAGCCAGAAAAGAACGAACACGCAAGGAGCCATGATGACCCCGTTGATGACAGCAAAGAGAGAAATCGAAGCCAAGACGCGCACGAGGAACCCGGAAAATACGACGCTCCAGTACACAGCTTTGAACACCAGCAGCAGAGACTGATGAAGGTTGTTGCGGGCCCATGCCCACCAAGATGCAGCTCTCAGAGTAATCGTCTGGCAGAACTCCGACGAGGTCCCTCGATTGTGACTCTAGATCCCGGACTGTGATTCTCTCTCCATTGCGCTCCGCCGACGATTGCATTTCTTGCTGAGATCGTCCGTTTGTCCTCGTCATGTCCGGAATGAAACGATGGCGATCGTCTCTGGATTTGGCAGATTCAAGCGCAGGGTGAGCGATGATGACTGGGTGCGAGTTCTAGTCTTCTGATCCCTCGTGGTCGGGAAACCCTTGGCTAGCTGTCCGACGTCGTCATAGCTTTTCGTTTTCTTAAAGGTTGGAGTTGCTTTAGGGAAAGGAGCTAGCCTACTTCCAAACTCGTCGTCAGACACGCAATCGATCGTGATTTCATTTCGAGTACTTCTTATATTTCAAAGCGCTCTTGTACGTCGCCATGCACCAATGAGGAGGAGCAAATTGTCGAGATCAAGCTTCAAACATACGGCGCTCAGAAGGATAAAGGAGCTGTTATTTTGATCGTGGATGCTTGCTCGAGTAGGGATGTAACTGAGAACGTCGTTGGGGTGTGTTTCGTGGGTCAGGATGTGACTGAGCAAAGAGTTGTGTTTTTTAGCCTTTTGACCCTTTGGGTCCCACGGGCTTGATCTATTTACCATTTACCATAAGTTTACTCGCATTCAGGGTGAGTATAAGGCAATTATGCAAAATTGGAATCCCCTGATTCCACCAATATTTGGCTCCGATGAGATTGGAGACTGCTCGGAGTGGAATCCGGCAATGGAGAAACCGTCAGGCTGGAAGAGGGAGGAAGTAATCGGGAAGATGCTCGTTGGAGAAATTTTGGCACGCAAATGATGTGCTGCAGGTTGAAAGGCCAAGATGCTATGACTAAATTCATGACTGTCTTGAACAGTGCCATGGATGGGCAAGATTCAGATAAGTTTCCAGTTTTTTTCTCTGACCGGCAAGGAAAGTTTGTGGAAGCTCTTCACACTGCGAATAAACGAATTGATTCTAAAAGTGCTTTTATCAGCGTATTATTTTCTTACAAATTGCAAGCATGGAGCTGATCCAAGCCTTAACTGTGCAGAGAGCATCGGAGAAGGTTGCTTTCTCCATGTTGAAGGAGCTAGCCTACTTCCAGCAGGATATCAAGAATTCCCTGCAAAGAATTATGTTTACACGAAATCTGATGAGAATACCAATTAAATTGAGGAGCAAAAGCAGTTCATAGAAATGAGTGCTCCTTGCGAGAGGCAGTTACGAAGGAATATGGATGACATGGACATGGACATGGAAAGTATCAAAGACGGGTAAGTATCGGTTTGCTTGATCGGGGGTCAGTATTCAGAAAAGAACTCTTCCGACATTTCCTTGGCTTGAGCCCTGTCACTTCCTTATCTATTAGATGCCGTTGTGAGTCCTGATTAACTCTTAGATTCCCCTATGGAGGAGATTGATTAATCTTAGACCCGCTGTCTCACAAATGGCTACGTCCTTACATAAAGCTAGGAGAAAACTTAATCTCCCATGAAAACATGTTCATTGCTACCCGATCTTCATCATTTTCATTTTTGGCATGTGTCTAGCATGAATATGAAAGCTAAAGCTATATGAACTAAACTTTTCACATATCTGTAACAAATATTTGAGAATCTTAGAAAAATCTTAAAATTGATTTTAATCTTCAAATGTTGTACACTTTTTAATAGTTCTCATCTTCTCACTTATTGTTTATATTCATTTTGTTCTTTCTTCATTTAGATTTCTTTTACTGTAGATTCATAATCCAAGTAGTTTATGTCTACCTTGCGAAATTTATATTTTTGAAACCTTGATATATATTTTAAATCTCTTAGATTGACTTTAATATTTACTTAGATTTCTTTTACTTTATATTTATTATCCAAATAAAATATTTCTACTTTGCCAAATTTATATTTTGAAACTTTGACATATACTTCATCGTTTTACAAAACTTCAAGTGCCTGACGTAAATAATGTTTATAATCATTCAAGGTTTTGTTATATTTCAAATTATCATGCTAAAATACCACATTGAAGGTTGAAATTACAAATACCTCCTAATTACAGACATCAACACCATCTGGTGCTGTTGCAATTATCGGTAGGGTCGCTGCAAAGCGAGGCACTACCTCCGTAATACGAGCATAGTGCAGAAGAGATGGTGGCTGGATACTGAATTGCAGCGCGCTAGTCCTTCTGCAGGCTTCGGAGTTGAGAGGCAGAGACACTCGATATTTGTTTTCATCAACAAAACACACAGTTAATCATTACAACATGGCAAGCATGCACGGCAACGACTGCACTTGAACGGCCAAGCAAACGAAGCAAACGAACAACGAGCTGAGAGTGCAGGACGCTGTAGGGTGGAATTTGGGTTAACTCCTATTGCAGCGCAATAGGAGTATAGTCAGTGGTTCGCACAATCCCGACATTGAGCTCAAAAGGTGGTCAAACAACCCACGGCTGACCCCTTCTCGGAGCTCGGCAACTATCTCAGCACAGTAGGCCCAGGCGTCCGTGGCCGAAGCACTGAAAAACGAAACTCCTTCAGTGCATTAGGTCAAGGCGTTTGTGGCTAGTTCTCAGCCGAAGGGCAACACTGTCTCTAGCACCTAAATCTAGCGGTTGAGGTTGGCTTGTGGGCTGAATCTTCCCACTATTGTCAGCTCACTCTGTAGAGACGTCCGGGGCTGGTCGGCAGTCGACATCTCACAGCATTTTGAAGCGCATTAGGTCCAGGCGTTCCGCTGCTGTGCCTTCGTGAGCACATCGCCTCAAGCAGCGCGGGCACAGGACAGGGCAAGCAACCTGTCACAATCAGTAACGGGGGCGACTTCTGTGAGGTCACAGGTTACCTACAAGCAACCCAACATCAACGAGCAACAACCCACACGGCAATAACGAATACAGGGGCGCAACCTGCGGAATAGGTGGCCCCTGTTATGGGCACACAACCGGGGGTCCCTTATGGAACCCCCCAAATACACGCAGGAATGAGCCCCGCACAGCTAGGACCTGGACAGCTAACCAGCGCCTCACCAGTACTAACAGGGGGGAAACCCGTGGGTAGCACGAAGCACAGGCTCTCCCCACCTGACGTCTCAGTTGAGGGGCATGGGCAGTCTACAGCGATCAGCGAGGGGCCCAAGAGTCTAACCAGAAGCCAAGCAACAATGGAGGACATGCTGGATTCATCTGAAGATAAAACAAGCAACAATGACCCTGATGAGTGCAGCTCCGACGACAAATCCTTGGAGGACACACCAGTCAACCCCGAAGCTGAGAAGGATTTCGACCTGGAGACCACAATGAATATGCTCAGGCAAGTCAATCTAGTGATCACACGAGACGACACTCTCAAGAAGAAGGAGGAAACGGAGAACCTTACAGCGGTTCTATGCTTTCTCGACAGAGGTCTTAGCACACCACGAGTGCAGGAGTGGGCAGAGGCAGCACTCATCAGAAGCAAGAAGCTGAAGATTCTGTCGATTACTGCAATTGGCAGCAAGAATTACCACATCCGATTCCAATCGCAGAAGAACATGGATAGAGCTCTGTCAAGAACACGCATTACATACCTTGATCTGGATTTTAATATTGTCAAGTGGTCCCTCGAAGCGGAAGACTTAAGCTACTTCCCAGCGTTGTATCCTGTGTGGGCTCGATTCACTAGCCTGACCCAACTGCAGCTCTTCTGGATTAAGGAAATAGCTGGAACGTTGAGCCCGGTGCTTATCGGTACAGCAAGCATAGAAAAAAGCAGCCGCCCCATCATCCGACTCTGCTTAGAATGGCCACGGGGAATGCTGCCCCCACCATTCGTTGAAATGACCTTAGAAGGAGTAGTGGAGCGCATACCCTTCGATGTAACACACCTGTCCAACTCTTGTTTTAAATGTCGCAGGCATGGACACATTGCAGTAGATCGTCCAGGAGACGCTCTCTTCCCACCTCAAGAAGGTGCTGGACCCAGCAGGCGACCCCAACGGGAGCGCCCTCGGCCAAGCGCCCTCCAACCTGAAGTGGCACCTCAAGTGTACCTTGACAACGACAAAGGAAAATGGAGAGTTGACAATCCGCCGTCCAAGCCTCCCCCCCCTCCCCACATCAAAATTCTTCCAGCAGCCTCGCACCAAAAGCAGGAGTGACGGCTACTGGAGGAAAGTCACACCACAGCAGACTGCGCTCATCGACAAGGAGGTGGACCAGGCGGCAAACGGCAATAGCGTTGAGGGCACCAAGATCGCCAGTGAAGAGAACAGAGCAAAGAAACACCGAGGGGAGAGCTCTCAGGAGAGAGCGCCAGCACCTCTGCAGGCAGAAACGGAAACGGCACCACAGGAGGCCCTATCAACACAAGAATCAGGCACAATTGAAATGTTTTGCGAGAAGAAGAGAGAAGGAACTACAGCACAACGCACAAGGATTGCACTGGTGTCGGAGTCCTTACAGAGCAAGTCAAAGAAGGATGCAGCGAACAAGCAGAACACATCTACCACATCCCCCCCTACTCGCAAAAGTAAGTCTACTCAACGAACACAAGGGGCAGAACCGGCAATGGTCTAGGCAGCGGATGGGGGCAGTAAGCGCAAACCTGCAGCGGATAGAGAGCAAAGCGGAGGACGTGCCAAAATTGCAAAGAGCTCCTCTCTTATCCCAGGAGCGCAGATCGATCTAGGCACCCACAGGATAAACTCACACCACCAGTATCTCCTCTCGTCCCTAAACAGCTATTGGGGGTCCTGGCGCAAAGGGATAGTACAGAGCAGGTCGAACTCCCCTCCGAGCAAGAGCAGAAGGGGGCTGAAGAACCAGCAGCAAATCAGGCGCACTGGGAGGAGAAAGTGCAAGGGCAGCAACTCGAAGCCCCAACTCTGACAGAAGGCATCCGGGCAAAGTTTCCCCGAAAGCAAGCAGCGAGTCAGGGGCACTCGGCGGCCTTGGGGGGGAAGACGTTGAGCATGAAGACGTCGGCCATCCAAAAAAGGGAGATGCGAGCAGCTAAGGCTGCGGCAAGGGCAGCGAGTGGTGTGCACTAACCTAGCAGGGTCAGGAGCGGAGACACCTGCACCACCTCCCCGCCAAAAACAGACATAGTTGGTGAAAAGACATTCACAGAGCACGGCCGAGCGGCCTTCAGTGAACAATGACGCACACCCTACAGGCCTCCCAACTCACGTTGAACATCCTCTCCTGGAACATGGGTGGGCTAAACGGATCTACCAAGAAATACAAAGTGAAAGATTTCATCGGGAATACACGAGACAAACCGGACATCATCGCTGTCCAAGAGCACAAGTTGAATGTGTTCGCCATGACTGCAATCGGGCACCTTCTGAGCAGAGACCTGCACACCATATGCTCACCCGGTCAGAAAAGAGTTAGAGGCAAGGGAACCGGCGGCACAGCACTCCTGATCTACAAGAGTTTCAAAATCATTACTGCATGTACGTCGGAGGACGGGTAAGTTACTTGGGCGCAGATCGAGAAAGGGGGCCATGAAGTGTACATTGCATTGGTATACGGACCTCACTCCCCAAGAGCTCGAGCGGCGCATTGGGCTAAGCTGCGGAACATGTTCCCACACACAAATGTCATCTTGTGTGGGGACTGGAACATGGTGGAACACCCCACCGATTCCTCTGGAGAACGTCAGGTACTTGAAAGAACGGAAGACATCACGTTCACAGAACTCAGGACGAAGCATAAAGACCTGAGGACAATTGCTGCTAAAACATAAGGACCTCTACACACCAGGTGGTCAGCTTATGAGGGAGACCCGAGATGGGCAAGGCTCGATTGGATTGACTTCTCTCATGCGGGCACATGGCTTGCAGCAGTGCGTTACCTTCATCATCACGCTGGGAACACCCTGTCAAACCATCTTCCGGTGTCGGTTTTGTTAGAAGTTGGGACGGTGGTCTGCACGGACGGCAGGCTCTCACTCACGGGCCCGACCACATTCAAATGGAGCCCCTCCCTGCTAGGGAAATCGCAAGAAGGAGTTAGGAGAATCTGGGAAAAACAGGAGCGCAGAACTGACGACCCTAGGAAAATCTATCACAAAGGAACGACACAAGTGAGAAACTTTCTGCGGGCCAAACTGTCACTCATACAGGAACTCCAGCAAGAGATTGTGGACCTGCACAACAATCGGCCAGGAGACTTGACGGTGCAACAGCTAGTTCGTCTGGACTGGCTGGAGACCGAAAAATGACTTAGGAAACACAAACGTGATGTCAAGATTCGGCTGTGGTCTCGAGTCAAACATCTCAGTTTGGGGGATGCGGCGTCCAAGTATTTCTTTAATATACACAGACAGAATGCTGCACGTGCTCAGATCCTCCAGTTGCGCCTGCCAACAGGAGAAGAGACACGGGATCAGGCGAAGATTCTCTGTGCAGTGGACAAATATTAAGCAGACCTGTATACAGAGCAATCTGTCACATCACAAGACAAGCAAGACAAGACATCACTAGCGGCGCTTCCTACGAAGAAAGAGATCAAAGATGTTCTCTTCAGTCTTCCACTCAACAAAGCGCCTGGAGTTGATGGTGTCTCTTCGGAAGCGCTAAGAAAAACCTGGCCCTTCATAAAAACATTCTACGTCAAAATGGTGCACAAATTCTGAGAAGAAGGAGTGCTTGCAGAAACCGTGACAGAAGGCATGATCCGCCTAATTCCAAAGGCGGTTAACAAGACAGAACTTAAGGACTGGAGACCCTTGACGATGCTCACAACTGACTACAAGATCATAGCACGGATCCTGGCAGGCAGGCTACAGATGCAACTACAGTAAATCATTCTGCCATAGCAGACAGGGTTCATCAAAGGGCGCCACATGCTTGACAATGTACTCACGTTGTGGATGGCGCAAGACGGAGCCAAAACCTGCAAGCACCAGGGCATGTTTGTCAAGTTAGATTTTGAGAAAGCTTATAAAAGGGTAGAGCACAGCTACCTGTGGGACACCATGTCAAAGTACGGGCTTGGTCAGCAGTTTATTGCGCTGATTAAGGGGCTCACGATGGGGGCATCTACGGAAGTACACGTAAACGGCGCTAAGACTTACAGGTTCTTGGTAGGAAGGGGAGTGAGACAAGGGTGCCCGCTGGCGCCCCTGTTGTTCATCTTGGCGACTCAACCTCTAATGACGGAGATGAAGACGAGCTTTCAGGCGGGGCGGCTAAGAGGGTAGCAGGTGGGAGAGACGGTGCTTCTGGACTACTCGCTTTTTGCTGATAATATGGGCGTCTTCATCGACAACACATACTCATCTTTCCAAGAACTGCACGCGGTGCTAGCAAAATAAGAGGCGAGCAGTGGCGCAAGGTTGAATTTGTTGAAATCCTCAATCTTACTACTTGGGATGGACAGCCCTCCCGAATGGCTTCCCCTCACGGGCTGCACTCTGATGCAACGTGGCAAAATTCACAAGTACCTCGGGGCGCCAGCAGGTCTCGAGGTAAGCAAACAACAGTAAGACGAGTTCTGCACGCAGAAAATATCAAAAACACTAGGAGGGTGGGAACTTCGGCTACTGTCGTTCAAAGCAAGGGCGGTGCTACTGCAATTTGTCCTGCAGGCCCAACCCACCTTCTACTCTTCCCTTATCAAGCTGTCGGCAACGACCTGCAGGAAAGTTGAGCAGCTATACCGACAACTTCTATTGGGGTACAATAAAGACGGAACGGCCAAACGCTCGTTGGTCAGATGGGATATACTCAGCAGGCCCAAAGCAAAAGGGGGGCTGGGCATCAGGAGCCTGGCAGATACTAATTCGTCACTTATGGGCAAGTGGATTGGAATTATCATTGACAAAAGCGCAGGTTCTTGGGGTCTAGCGTTAGCAGACCTGGTGAAGCAGGGGAGGGCTAAATATCACAGGGACATTGTGCGGAGGAATTACAGTCTTCCAGATTTGATCCTGACTAGGCAGCCCTTGCACCTAGCCGGAACGGAGGTTGGTAAGGCACTAATGGCGTGCTGGAGATCCATACAAGAGGACATCACTTGGGACCCAGAAGGCGTAGCAATTCCTCAATACATAACACTGCGAGATGTCGTCAGCCTCACAGTAAGCAACTGTGAGGAAAGCGAAATAGTCACGAGACAGGTAATGGCTGGACTTCGAACCCTCAAGGTCACCCATATCGAAACTTTATGGAGGAAAAAAGAGGTGTTAAAACGCACCTTCGTCGGGGGCCGGACAAATGAGCAAAGGAGGACGGAAGGCTCGCCGATGCACGTATTTTTGCACAAGATCACCTCAGCGATGGGACTTAATGACGCCGTCTTTAGCTTATCTACAACTAAGTAGAGAGGCCTATCTACAACTAAGTATGTGAGTGCACATCCGATTTGGAAGATGGCGGACATCCTCAACATTGTTGAGACTTGGGAGCATGAAAGCAATGTTATTGAAGAGATACAAGGGTTTACTCTGGTGGGATCTACTTGGAACCATAGAAATCGACGAGCAGGAAGAGGCTTTGGAAGCATTGTTACTTTCATCAGATCTGAACTTCTTCCTATGATACATTTGGAAAGCCAAGATATTGGGAAACAATATCATTGGCTTCGTCTTGGATTGATTGGAGGATCTTACAGTTATTTGGCAGTTTGCTACTTTGCACCATTATCCATGCAGATCTACTCCACAAGCACTTGCAATCGAAGTCAACCATTCCATCGGCTCATAGGAGATGTTCTCAAATATCAAGACAAAGGTGAAGTTTTTCTTGTTGGAGACTTCAATGCCCGCATAAGTTCCGCTCAATTTACACAATTTGATAGTTCCTTGTCTTCTCACTCTTTTGAAGAAAGTAGAGATAGTTTGTGCTCTAGAGTCTCTTGTGATCCTTGTACAAATGATTTGACTGAGCATTTCTTGACTTTTGGAGCCACTTGTAATCTGAAAGTTCTCAATGGTGTTTCTTTCTTTCCCAACTCTCACTCCAATACATGTTTTTCCTCTACTGGTGTTAGCACTATAGATTATCTTTTGTCCTCTGCCACTAATAGTTCATTTATCTCAGCGTTTGATATTTTAGAGCCTCAACCAGAATCAGATCATACACCTCTTTTATTTACTCTTTTGTTGTCAACGTCAATCCCTCTCCCTACATGTCATTATGTTTCTACTTCCCCCAAGTTTTGTTTAGATGCTAGTAAGAAGCAACTTTATAGTGAACATTTCCAAGACCTCTTGACTTGTACTACTTGGAGCCTTGATCCACATACATCTAGTTTGCAACTAACTGAGTTGCTCCAAAACTCTGCTTCTAAGTTCTTTTTGAGACATAAGACCAGGAGAGCTAGAGGTCTTCCTTGCAATGGATGGTTTGACTTTGATTGCAAGCAAGCGAGGGCGAGATCACTTGATAAATCCTTGGATCTTCACAATCGGTTGATTATGACAAGACTTTACAAAGACTTGGTGAAGTCCAAGAAACGAGCATTTTTGAGGCAGAAGCAAGAGTGCTTGACAAAGGAGCTCTTGGAGAATCCCAAATCCTTTTGGAGGCGGTTGGCAGTACGATCTTCTAAACCTACTCTTGATCCCAAGTCTTTGATTTCTTTTGCTGAAAAGCTTTATTTCTTTCTTGCAAATTTTCAGCCCCAACGGAGCTGCTGTCAAGAAGTTGTCATTTCGAAACTTTGAGTTTAGGGATTTGAGCATGAATCTTGCGGAGGCCATATCTTCTTGGTGGAGTGTCAACTGGAGCTGAGATTTGGTGGGCTTGTTCACGACGGCCGGACGCACATACCTGCAAATTTTCAGCCCCAACGGAGCTGCTGTCAAGAAGTTTTCATTTCGAAAATTTGAGCTTGTGTAACATCTTGCAAAGTTGGGTTCATGATGGATTCTGAAAACAAACTTCTCAATCTTGTGCAAACGGTTTTGGAGGAATTGAAAGTGCTACGCCAAGAATTCAAGGCACAAAATGTTGCTTTGACTCCTGCAAAGAAT